CGAATCAGTTTTGCTGTTTGACGTGATGTGATTTACGTCCTTGCGCTAACTGCGTGTGTTTTAGCGGAAGCTGCCGACATTCGCGCGAGTGAAGCGGGCCCGCATCCCGAACGCATACGACAAGTCGGCATTGAGGTTGCAAGTCGGCGATCGTATCAAGGTATTGAAGATGCATCCAAGTGGCACGTGGGAGGGTGAAATCAACGGCCACGTCGGCCATTTCCCATTCACATATATCGAATTTGAGGATGACGTAGTGGACACTGCCGAAGTCACAAGCTCGTCAACCACCTCTCCTCGATCATAGAGTTCACCAAATTTAAAGCGTATAATGGTTCTGAATGGTTGCGTTAGTCAGCCATCAGTGTATAGACCACTGTTCATTACGAGTGGACGCCGCCTCCGCATCTGCCTATTACGAGCATGTCGTTATAATTTATTCGTCTTCATCATTGGTCGACATCGTCGAACCGATACGCGTGATGCATTTACGTTCTTTGACTTGTCATATTCACATTTGTGCCAACTTGTCAGTTCGCGCTCATTACATAGCTTATATTGTTATCATGCAGGGTCATGATTGATTGTACGAGATTCGTAGCTAATTTTGTTATAAAGATGTTCCGCCCGTTTCATTACGTCTTGCGTGTCATTATCCAGTTTCTCTATGCGTGTAAAAGTTCTGGAAGGTGTTAGGTTCTGTATTCCATATATTTAGTGCCATATCTTCTTCATATAGTAGATCGTTTCAAGCCTTTGCTTCCGTTATGTTAAATCCTTATAGCTACTAAGAACCTGCTGCGATGGAGATAGTCGATATTTTTCGATTAGTAATGGGAGCTGTCAAAATCCTTCATCCGATTTGTCCTCATTGTGGGCGTGCCACGAATTTATGTTGGCATTCCTGCGAACTTTTGTTGAGCATCCATCCATGGTGCCAACGTTGGTGAACTATGAACCTTGGAGACTTCTTAGCAACCTTCAACCAATTCAGCTGATACAAAGAAGTGGGGTGCTTGGTCGCGATTTGGTCACGGACATTATTCAGAAATCACCACTTTTCACATTTTGTTTTTTGGCTCTCACTGTTTGGAATTCTTCCATATAAAGTTTTACTATATATACAGCTGCTCAGTTCATTAACGTTGGCGCATAAATTATTTTGTGACAGTGAGTCTGGAAATATCACGGTCTAACAGTACATTAACTTATTATACATAACAAATATATACAACCAAGCGGTACAAACTGTTTCAAACAGTGACTAAACAAACAATATCGTTGGGCTCATAAGCAAGCCATTGTTAAAATCACTTATAATAAAAACTATAATGTAGAAAATACAAACGTAAGAAATGCTAGCAGAGGCGCCGATGACCAGGTCAGCAAAGAGGAGTCGTGGCACAAAGCAGTGTTCAGGAAGCGGACAACAGGCCAGACGAAAGAAGGGTGCAGGTGTCAGGCGATCTTTAGCGAGGCAACGTTGTCTGGCGAATGCACGGCTGCGACGGACATCAGCAGTGGAATATCGCTTATATCACAGTTGAGAAGCTTCGCTGCCTGCAATGTGTCCAACACGGCGTTTTTCTCATCGATCAGCGTAGCTAAGGCACAGCTTTTGGCGTAGATTTCTGCCAGGCAATCCTCGATATAGGCGACGCACTGGAAACGAAACAGTTAACCGAAAAGTAGAGCAGTACAAAATGAGAACACGTACGAAATCAGCGGCCAGGTTCATCTGCCC